TAAAGAACCTTTTAATGAAGGTGAAAGAGGAGAGCACAAAATATGGTTTGAAGCTCAACATCAAAAAAACTAAGCAAAGTGAAGTGGAAGAAATGGAGGCAGTGAGAGATTTTACTGTCTTGGGTTCCATGATCACTGCAGATTGTGACAGCAGTCATGAAATTAAAATATGCCTGCTTCTTGGGAGAAAAGCAATGACAAACGTAGACATAGACAGCATCTAAAAAAGCAGAGACATCACCTTGCCGACAAAGGTCCGTATAGTTAAAGCTATGGTTTTCCCAGTAGTGATATATGGAAGTGAGAGCTGGACCATAAAGAAGGCTGATCGCCAAAGAAATAATGCTTTTGAATTATGGTGCTGGAGGAGACTCTTGAGAGTCCCATGGACTGCAAGAAGATCAAACCTATCCATTCTGAAGGAAATCAGCCCTGAGTGCTCACTGGAAGGACAGATCCTGAAGCTGAGGCTCCAATACTTTGGCCACATCATAAGAGAAGACTCCCTGGAAAAGACCCTGATGCTGAGAAAGATTGAGAGCACTAAGAGAAGGGGACGACAGAGGATGAGATGGTTGGACAGTGTTTTCGAAGCTACCAGCATGAGTTTGACCAAACTGTGGGAGGCAGTGGAAGACAGGAGTGCCTGGTGTGCTCTGGTCCATGGGGTCACGAAGTGTCGGACACGGCTAAACGACAACAACCAAATGCTTGTCTTGTGCAAATTAATTCAACAAGTCTTCCCAACAGGCACTTTACTCTTCCCAAGGTTCATAACATCCTACTTGGGGGGAGAGATTTTGTAGAGATGGGAACCTCTATGGCACTCACTAATCTTACTGTAGACTCCACTGAGTAAATAGTTCTTGAAGGAAGAGGAACCTAATGTAGAAGCCAGTCAGGCCTGGCATTGCTTCTGTTTTAATGTTTTTCACTTCTACTTAGAAATCAGGAGGTGCCACTATACTAATGCCTTGTGCTGTTGTATTTTTGCTTTTTTTTTCTTTGGGTTCTAAGCTTTTTAATCCCTTAATAAAGCCTTTAAGCAGAAAATGTAATGCACTCGCCTCTATTCACTCTGGTCTGTCGTGTTTAGGTTTTGTGTTGCTTATATTGTACTAAAGTTCCCTGGAATTGTATGAATATTGTCCCCTGGGTCTTTCATAAGAACTAGATGTGTATCTCATTAGGCTTTTTCCAGTGAGCAAAGTTTTAAATGAAGGTACAAATAAATATTTGATGCAAATGCTTTCATTGCCTCCCAAAGGTACAGGCCATATGAATGCCTTTACAAGGGTGTTTTCTTTGCTATTTCAACAAAAATTAGTCTAATAAGGTGGAGCTTTAGCAACAGCCCTTTTTATTACTAAATAGGCATCAAGGGTTTTTTTGTGTGTTCATTCATATTCACTCTGCCAGGCTTTTTTTTAGCTTTAAGTTTATATATTGTTCTGTCACAGCAACATTTTAAATGATTCCTTCTGAGTTCCGGAGAAAATAAAATTAAAGCAATGCTCCCTGGACATTTAATTCTGGAATGCTTTTAGAGAATATGAGACCAAACTCCACTTCTGCTATTAGAGTCAGCTCACATAGTTAAAGGTAAAGGTAAAGGTAAAGGACCCCTGGACAGTTAAGTCCAGTCAAAGGCAACTATGGGGTGCGGCGCTCATCTTGTTTCAGGCTGAGGGAGCCGGCGCTTGTCCACAGACAGCTTTCCAGGTCATGTGGCCAGCATGACTAAACCACTTCTGGCGCAGTGGGACACTGTGACAGAAACCAGAGCGCATGGAAATGCTGTTTACCTTCCCACCACAATGGTACCTATTTATCTACTCACACTGGTATGCTTTCAAACTCCTAGGTTGGTAGGAGTTGGGACAGAGCAACGGGAGCTCACCCCATTGTGCGGATTCGAACCTCCAACCTTCTGATCAGCAAGCCCAAGAGGCTCAGTGGTTTAGACCACAGCACCTCCCGCATCCATACAGCTCACATAGTAATACATATATGAATATAATTTCATAACAATCCTCTCTCTGCGTATCTAAACAGTCAGCTTTCCATAACTGTCGAGCCTCAAAAGTTTAGGGGATGTCTCAAGAGCCCTAATCACATTTTCATTCTCAGGTTTGCAAATCAAATGAAAAGTTGCACTGGCCAAAACTTGCCATCTGATTTTAAAATGGCTTTTTTGTATATATAAAAAAACTTTCTATATTGCATTAGCAACATTTGGAAGTGGTACACTTCCATCTGTCTATAGAATCTTCTATTCTCCCTTCTAGATCAGAGGTAAGCAAAATAAGCCCTGAAAGTCACATTCTGAGGGGCAATTTTTTTTCCCTTTTTCACTTGTTACTCCTTGGCTCCCTGAGAACGGTCCTGGGCTTTTAATTCTGGAGAATGATACAGGCAGCTTTCCTAGAAACTCTGGTTTTGTAGATTGCACCTGGGAAGAAAACCTGTGGCCTTCCAAATGTTGTTGGACTTCAGCTTTCATCAGCTCCAGGCAGCATATGGTCATGATGCATGATGGGAGTTGGAGACCAGCAACATCTGGAGGCCACAGGTTCCCATTCTGTTCTTTAGGAGGTCGAAGGAGACAGTGGGAGGGAAGTGACCACACTTGCATCGTTCATGGATATATTCTCATTTTGTAAATGCTTATTGTTCCCAATAACAAAGTTTGGTTCACAGTCCTGTTCAATGCAATTTTTCTAGAAAAAGAGGTGCCAGAACTGGGTCTGAATTTCCTGTGTCTGAATTTATAGCCCCTTTTCCTGTTAAAGCCCTCACAAATAGTGTTTGCTAGGGAAAGACAACTGCTTCTTTACCCTGTCTGGTTTATAAAAATAACGGCCTAGGTAACTAGATATTAAGGGCTTTGCTTCAAACTTTATCCTTCTTTCACTGAAGAGAGTAGCAGAGCTGCGTAAATTGTCATGGTCCTTCCCTCTTCTCCTGGATGCTTTTATGTCTCCCAGGCTATCTAAAATAGCTCTTAAGGGTATTTTCACAAGCTTAAGCCTTGTACACCTTTTTGTCTCCAGTGCACCACTTCCAAATGTTGCTAATGCAATATAGAAAGTTATATATATATATATATATATATATACACACACACACAAAATGCCATTTTAAAATCAGATGGCAAGTTTTGGCCAGTGCAACTTTTCATTTGATTTGCAAACATGAGAACTAAAATGTGTTTAGGACTCTTGAGACATCCCCTAAACTTTTGAGGCTCGACAGTTATGGAAAGCTCACTGTTTAGATACACAGAGAGAGGATTGTTATGAAATTACTGCTATGTGGGAGTTTCAAGTCATCCTGAGCTCTGCAGATTGAAAAGTTCCAGCCACATAATTGACCTAAGAACAAGAATGCAGGGTGGTATATTTCATAGAGAAGCAGTTACAAGCTAAGTTAATCTTCCCTCACGTGCATCAGATGAAATAGGGGGAGAAAAACATGGGGTATTTGTTTTTTAGCTGTTACAAGAACAATAGATATCCCTGACAAAGCTCAAAAAGGCAGGTCCTTGTAGTTGCATAGCCAATGTATTATGTTCATTGCATTTGTGTCCTGGCACAGTTTATTACAATTTCAAAATCAGCTCTAAGTGGGTTTTGCAATTAAAATGAATGACTGCATTCCATTTCAGAGGCAGGGAGAATGGTTTTCAAATTCATGCAGAATTACAGAAATGGCAGACACAGTAACTGCATCTGTCTGTATACCTTCCCGAAAGCTTGTTTCAAAGGAGTGGCTTCTAAAACCTATTCTCATAAAACATGTACCAAATTAATAAATTTTAAAATAATAGGTTACTTTATCTTTGAAGAATTGTTATAAACCTAGGTGACACTACCAATCAGACATTAGACAAAGAAATTAGTTGCACAAGAAATGTCACTGCAGGATTCCCTGTGGTTACATTCACACAACGCCTAGTCATGTAGATAATAAAAGGCAGAATTATTAGTTAAGGTTTTTGTTAATTTATTAGTTTGACTGTATGCTGTCTAGTTCTAAGGGTTTTGCTCACTTCTGTGTGTGTATACTGATTGATAGCTGTCTTGATTCCCTTTGGCAGCATAGGTGTGATAGATGTGTTCAAATCAAATAATAAATGTACAGTGTGCATGTGTAAGGGTCTGAGAGCAAACACTAAGCTTTTGCTCCCTCCACCACTTTTCAGAAACGCTTCAATGAGAACTGGTGATTATGCATGTAAATCCTCTTACTAGTAACCCAATACAACCCATCTGTCAGGCTGGTTACAGGATTTAACATCATCAGGCACCGGTTGAAGCTCATGCTTCAGCTAGGGAGTCCACTGTTGGCCTTCAGAACTACCTGCTCCTGCTCCTATGCCTCCTTGCAACCAGAGGGAACAACCAAGAGATGTATGGGAGTGAAGAGACTGGGTGACAATGGTGGTTGGCGCTAGAGGGAAAGAGAGAGAGAGTAGTTGATGGCAGTGAAGAGAAGGGTAGAGCCTACTGGAGGATCTCTTGTCTGAACTCCCTCAAAAGCTAGAATCAACACTGCTATTGGCCATGAAATGTCTGAACTTGCATGAGTTATGCCCCATTATATACAGATTTAAGTTATTCTTCTGTGTTATCACCGTAATACAGAAGAAGTATTGTTCTTCTCTAATGTTAGAATACATTCCGCCATGCAAGCACTCACCATGTTTGCTTCTACGCTCTATGTGACTGTCTTTGGAGCAAACAGAAGTGCATTTATGGAACTGTCATCCTGAGGCAACAAGTTCTCAAAGTATGAAGGCAACTTCAACTTTTAGATTAATTTCTCAGCTCATGATGCAGCTTCAGCTCCTAGATTAGTGTTGTGTCAAGCATTGGAGAGTAAGCCATAGCTTTTGGCTTTTGGAGCACCAGCAGGTTGCAATGTGCTTAGTGTACATATCTGTTTTGTCCCAAGATCTTAAATGCCACTCTGATACAGTCAGTTGTGTCAGTTGCATTGATGTGGTAGTTTAACAGTATTCTTCTAACAATTATTGTTGTACTTCAGAGTTAATTACTCAACTCTGAAGTACAAAAATAATTGTTAGAAGAATATTTTTAAACTACTACATCCATGCAACATCCAGTTCTTCACACATCCTTTCTTCCACATTCCACATATATTTCTTTGAACACACACACTTGGGATCAGTTTATTGTGGGATAAGCTTCTTCTAAACCATTCATTCCATAGCACTGCTGTTTCTAGGAATAGCAAGTCTGTGTGCCTCTGTAGTAGTAGTAGTAGTAGTAGTAGTAGTAGTAGTTGTTATTGTTGTTGCTGCTGCCGCTGCTTCAAATTCCCTGCTTAGCCACTTTGAGCGAATACTGCCTGCAACAGATAAAACTTGGATATGCCAGATAGGTCTGTTTGAAGCAATTTGCACTCAGTTGTGTACTGACAGCAAGTATTTGCTATACTCGCGGGATATCTCACTTAAAGACAGCAAAAATCACTAGAAACTTCAAGAGATTTTTTGTGCCCTGGATACATTTGTCTGCCCAGCACCCTTAGCCTCCAAAATGTTGCTATAAGATGCAAAGCATCTGTACTATATGTTGGTTCCATACACAATTCTCTATTTCTCTAGCCTCCTCCCATCGGGAGGTATCCTTTCCCCCTCTAAAATATTTCTTTTCGGGAGACACCCAAATAGCCCCATAGAGCTGGGCTGGGCCATGTATAGCTGAGGTATGTGCCCTGATGGAGAGATGAGTATTCTGCAGGCAGAAAGGGGAGCACTTTTCATCTGTAGCATACCACATGCTTTGAAGGAACCATGTGCTAAATCAATTGAAAACAAACTGATTCTCAGCTAGGGTTTTATACATACTTAAACAGAAGAGAATTAATTCAACAACTTACCAGTCAAAGTACAGAAGGCATTTAATTTGTCTGATTACAACATGAATATTTAAATACTGCTGTTTGTTCAGATTGGAATGTTCTTTTTATACTATGAATTTTCATTGGAAGCAGTATTAGGGGAACGTTCATAGTATGAGCATGTTCTTTTCTCTGAGAACAAATGGTTGAATCAGTACAAGCAGAAGTCCTTCTCAACCCTACCAAGGTTGAACCTGGGGCCTTTTGCACACAATGCATATGCTCCAGGGAGGCCACTGGGCCTCTTCTCATACTGTTTCTTCCTCAGTTTATGCTGCTTTGGGTAGAAAGGTGCTATGGAGGGTTGTTTGCTTTTGATGAAGAGGAATCCCACCCTGTCCTTAGAGAAAACTGCTCTGTTACATCCTATTCACTGAATGTCCTGCATTCCACTCAAGCAAAAACAGAAATTGGTCTTTGCTGTGCGTTTCTGTTTGAATAGTGTGCTGGAAGACATTCACCCACCTCTGTTTTTTCCTCTGCATTATCTTAGTCTTACGGAGTGTAGATCAGGGGTCAGCAAACTTTTTCAGCAGGGGGCCGGTCCACTGTCCCTCAGAACTTGTGGGGGGCCAGACTATATTGGGGGGGGGTTGAATGAATTCCTATGCCCCACAAATAACCCAGAGATGCATTTTAAATAAAAGGACACATTCTACTCATGTAAAAACACACTGATTCCTGGACCGTCTGCGGGCCGGATTGAGAAGGTGATTGGGCCGGATCTGGCCCCCAGGCCTTAGTTTGCCTACCCATGGTGTAGATTCATATGCTTTTGTTGTCCTGGTTTGGAAATGTGGTGTTACGTAATTTCCAAATGTGGCATTATATATATATATATATATATATATATATATATATATATATATATAGTAGTGGGCATAGTCATCCTGGCTATGGTTATATTTTGGGGTAGAGGGGTCATTTTTTGCTCTGCCACTTAGAACTGGAGGGTGGGATGGCTGGAAGAGGAGGCAAAAGGCTTTAAAAGGCCTGCCTATCCAATCCAGTGGGTCATCCTATTCACTGGTTATTCTCCTGTCCACTTTTCAAATAGAAATTCATGTTAATTACAAATTTCTGTTCTTTCTTCCTAAGGTTTCTGGATAGAGATAGCCTAGCCACTGTGAGCCATGCTCTGATCACCACTCATTTAGATTACTGTAATGCAATTGATGAAAAATGTGGCTTTCAATATATTGGCAGGACAGCTATCAGGAACCACATAATACTGATGCTGGATGAACTACATTGGTGACTGAAATTAAAGGTGCTAGGGGAATTACACCAGATGGTGATATGAAAAAAAAAATTACTCAACTTAGAAATACCTTCCCTGAAATGTGTGGCATCAACTTCACTGACATTCTAGCGACAGTCTAAAATCCACCTGTTTACTTAGGCATTTATTAATAGTCACTGGTATAATGAGTATGTGGTAATTATGAGCAGGAGATATATATATATATATATATATATATATATATATATATATATATATATTCACATATATATATTCACATTTGGTGGTTTTAATATATGTTTATTTAATATTATTGTTATCTGCCCTGAGATTTATACAGAGGGCAATATGGAAAGCGGGTGTTTTTCTTTTCTATAATGCAACATGCATGTATGGTACAAGGATAAGAAATACAAGCAACAGACACTATGTGCCTTCTCAACCTGTCATTCTTTCCTATTGTGAAGCTGAATGATTTGTCCAAAATTGGTGTACATATTTCACTTCCAAAAAAATAGCTTAAACTCCAAATCTGGCAAAGGTTTTTTTTTCCCCCCAGCCCCCCTTAAAGTGGAAATAGATCTTCTGAGCAGAAATTATCAGGTCATAGCTAAGAATCTCTCCCTGGTCCTCCCCCCCCCCCCATTTCTTCAGCAACTTAAACATTCTAAATGCAACAGCAAATAATCATTTTATCAGCACCACAGGATTGTAGGTGTTAATTAAAAATTCAGTAGTTTGGTTTTGCATTCTGTCAACAACATAATCCCAAAGAGAGTATCTTCTAGCTATTTTTACTAGACATTATCCAAATTCGTGAAGTTGTCACTCTTTTAACTGAGGTTTTGTAGTCCAGGGATACGCCCTCCTTTTATAGAACTTCTTCAAACAACAATTTAAGGGCCTGTTATTTGTATGTGATGATTTCACCCCTGCATGGGAGAGATGTATACTTGCAGGAAGTGCTCACCAACTGGTTCCAGAGTTTTCATCTCCATGATTAATGCAAAAAAGCTTGCTATATTTGCATGATGCCCTCTACCTCCCATAGTCTTGTATAAGAGATTAATAAAAACATATTGTACATTTTATGCAAATTGGACTTTAGTTCAGCAGGATTTGCTGAATTAATGTCATAGTTTGTGGGTTTCACAGAAGAGGTTCGCCTATCATCAGGTGCAGTAGAATGGGACACTTGTGTCTTTCATTGTGTGGTTAGCTGCATAACTTCAAATTTCTTAATACTGGGATTTCAGGAGGAGGAAAAGGGGAGAGAGACATTGCCCAGAAGTAAAGTGGCTTGGAGGCACTTATCCATGAATTCTAAAATCCATTTTTCTAGCTACTTATACAGAAGTAAATGGAAGTTTATTAGTTTTTAATCTACCCATTGCTTCTTGAACCCTTCCCAGAACTATTTAACTCTTCTCTCAATGTGTCACATTTATTTATCTCCAGAGAGCTAACATTTGTCATGCGATTTAAGCTAATCAGTTGCATGTCTGTATCACACAGGAATTTCAGCCATGTCACTTGCATTTTACTGGTCAGGAGATGCTAAACACATTTGAGGGAATACCATGTTTGTTAATATATTTTCAACTATAGCATGCCTGACTTAAAATTGTGCTTTCAGGACATTGGACTTGTAGCCCATGAAATAATCTTCCTATGCTATGATTTTCCATTGCAATAATTGCTGTGCAGTAATAGTTTATATTGAAGTTGCTCATCCAGGTAATTTGTCGGAAGTGGTGTGTGTGTGTGTGTGTGTGTGTGTGTAGGGAATAGTGAGTTATCTCATCTGTTCCTACTTTATGAATGATGCTGGTGAACTTGCCTCTCAAGGAAGGATAACGTTACTTTCTCTTTCCCAAAGCAACTGGGCACAGAGACATCTTTATTTAGTAACACTTTCCCCTGCATTTTTGGTTGTCACCTACTATTTCCAAGGGAGAGTGCCACAGAATTCTTCCACAGAATGCCTTTATCACCCCCAGAGTTTCAGATCAGGAAATTAATTTATTGTTGATTGCAGAACTTTTGAATTCCTGGCAGCTGTACTCTGAAATTTCTCTGATCCATCCACCTAGTAATTTATTTATCTACTGCTTTGAAATTATTTTCAGGACTGCTTGAAAACCTCTTGACATTGCAGTATCCATGTTTTAAAATCTTATAATGTTTCCTTCTCCCTTTATATTCCAGATAACAGACGAGTAAATTTGGAAAGGTCACGTTCTCGTCACAATGGAAGCATCACGGCAGTATGAACCCCTCCCAATGCCAAAGAACTGGGAAGTGTTTTATTTACTTTAAATGGAGACATGGTGGAAAGAGCTAAATGTGGAAAGAGCAACAATGAAGATAAATGAAATTCAAATGAATTCCAGAAAATAACAACCAGAAAAATAAATATGTATTTTTACAAAAGTTATTGTGCAAAAAAACCCACACAACTTACTGTATGTTAAAAATGCAATCCTCAATAGATATAAGCAGTGTTAAAATATAATGTTCCTATCTCTTCTTCTTTAGTATTACTCACACGTGTCAATCTACTATGTTTTTATGCAGCTCCCATGAATTTCAGGGAGGGTGTGCAGTAGATTGTTCCTAAAAGTGTGGGGAATGGTTTATATGAATGGAGATGAATAACATACAAAATTGCTTTTAAAACAAGCAGCATCAAAAGATCTGGTCAACGAAAGAAGACAGGAGTCCATTGGCAGTTCTTATTTTGACATGAAAGGAAAAAAGTAAAATTTGCATATTAATTAATTCAGATTGAAGCTGATACAGCACACATCATAACAGGCCTTTTTTGTAAGCCTGAGAAAGCACTGTACAGCCCCCATCAATTTCTTTAGAATCTTATCTCTCAAGTTTTAAGCATGATGGATTCAGCTATTTTGGTTTCAGTTAAACTTTATCACAAATCTACA